TAACATGGTCATTATAATTTATAGCCAGGTATTAATAATTGTCATTGTAATTTGACCTATTTAAATAATTTTCAAAATGGATTCTGAGAAAGAGAGATTAGTAATGTTCACGCTACACGAAGTATGGGCTAATCTCATATATTTGCATATCGGATAGATGCAATTGTGTTCACGCATGGAGAAAACAGTGGTTAGCACAGGCTAGGGAATGCCCAAACTAATTAGAACATACAAAATCTGCAGTCATCTGATCATCAGATTAGCTAGAAAGGTATACGTGTTAGTTCTACCATCATAAAACATTAACAAAGCAAATTCAGAAAGTGCAGATGACAGATTAACAGGAAGTAGCACTACGGTTACTAGGCTGTGTTTAGCGTTTTCTTAGCCCGGCCTAAGGTATTTGACCTATTATCCTGTGCTAAGGCGCTGTGCGTGAATGATACAATTGTAGCTACAACAAGTCTGTATAGCAGTATGGATATAGTAATAGTACCAAATACTGTTAACAGTTGTTGAGAGTACATGTAGGGATTACCAATTTTTGTATGTAACACTAGAGACAAGGTTTTAGATACAGCAACTTCTGAGAGATTATTAAAAAAAAATTTCACAATTCTTGTATTTCATTTTTATTTTCGTTAATCAAGGATGTGGAGACTTCCCCGTTCATGATATAACGTTCCTGCCAGATCCGTGTCCATTACCAGAAAAACTGAAAAAAAGAGTATTAAACGAGAAAGAGCGATTAATTTATGCTCCAATGTCTGGAGTTGGTGGTATAGTTTATGATAAAGATGTTGTGTACATTGAACTTGGGAGTAAAAAAGCACATAGCGAGACATTAACGGTAAGTGAAACACTGAATTCTAACTGAACTCTGTGTGATATGGCTTGCTCTGATGACAATGTTACTTTTTTGGGACTACTTTATTGCATGCATCAGATTACATACTGTAAAAAGATATGTCACCTGATCCGCGAGTGTATTGTTATGTAAAAAGTAGTGCCATTGGTGTAATTGAAAATGGCGGAATAAGCAAATGTGAAAGATCTTTGGTTTCTTTGATGTTTCGTGTGTTTCTGAGTCAACACATCACAGACAATAAAAATATTTAAATTAAGGTTATTTGCATAAAGTTCCTTTTTGAAATGAAGATGTTGATGGGGTAGTTTATATCAGAGTAGAAGATTGCATTGGATATCGTACGCATATTGTGTTTTTCTATAAGCTTATATTTGTTTTCAAGTGGATTCAGTTTCAATGCACATTCTACTATCGAAGCACACTCAATAAAGTATGGGATTAGTACCCTCATGCAATGAAGTCTTCAAGCAAATTATCTTCTGTGCATTCTACAGTCTACATCCTGCAGTAATTGGGAATATTTGGTATTGTATTATTTATTTTCACAGGAAGAAGAAAAACCAGTTCATGAAATGGTTACAAATATTATTGGAACTCAACAAACGATTGACAGTAAAATGGCTAAAAGTAAACTGTCACTATTTAAAGCGTCAAAACCACTAATTTCTGATCAAGTTGAAGGGTAGGTGCTACGACAATGCTTCCACGCAGTGTTGCTACAATATTGTGTACGCAACATAGAAAATAAAAAAAATCTAATTCTTAAGGGAATTTACAAGTCTAAGAACATAACAATATAAACTTTTAAAGGGGCATGTGTTTTTTGGAAATTTTTCCATATTTTAAAATCCATATAACTGTATAGTAGTTGTCCGGGTATAAACCATACTGGTCTATATTGTGGTCCAGTATGGTATTTGTATAAACCACAAACGTCTTTATTAAAAAAAATATGAAAAAATTTACTAAAACACACCCAATTCTCTTGCTGAAAGCCTCTACAGATAGCCACAATGAATGGGAAAAAAACGGCATAAGCAATTGGTGTGTTAATTAATTCCTCGCATTGATTACTGTAATCACTTTTAAAAATGATAAAGTCACTTAGTTTAGCAAACAAATCCTGAAAAATTGAAGCACTAAAGCTAGCCTGCATATTAAATAGTTTGTATGTGGTGTCTAATTATCAAATCCAACATACATGTATTCCTATTGATATAATCAGTCAAGACGAATTCGGAAATTATTCTAAATTTGATTTGAAGATTTCTCATGAACTGTAGAAAATCCAAAGCACACAGGTTCAGTGCAAGATTTTCTACAAATCATACAAGGTGGGAATGCAAATTGAATTCACTTTAACTAACAATGAATGCTAAATATTCAGTCAAATGTTGATGAAAAAGATCTATCAATTCATGGTGTATCTTAAGTTCTCGTTCAGAAAATTTTTTTAATCTCACTAAGACGGGCAGTGAAGACTGGTGTTTAAGATGAAAGATGCTCATTTGTTTCACCAGGAAATTTGCCATGCCAACTGAGGAGCTTGTTATTCATGATGGAAGAACACGTCGGAAAGCAGTCTTTACAAATGAGGATGGTGATGATAATGACAGTGATGACGACGACGATGATGAAAGTGATGATGATGATGATGATGATAATGATGATGAAAGTGGTGAGGCGGAAGAAGAGGAAGAGGAGGAGGAAAAAGATGATGAAGAAGAGGTGAAAACTTTTAAACATGAGGTACTACTAATATCTGTATAGAATTTTATAAATTTATTCTCAAAATTCATTTTCCAGCTGTTTGGGTATTGTTTGGTCTTGTGTAACATGAACATCCACACATTTTACCACATTTATGTTTATTTTAGTACCACGATGAATAAAAATTGTAGATCCTGCTTTTTTAATTATTGAAACATGAGAGTACTGTGATTTTCGTTATCAACTTCAGTGAACATGGAGAAAATAATTGCAAGTGAAAATATTGCATTCTACGATTGTACTTTTTCAATTTAACAATTTACATTGAGTTGATTAACCTTTTCACCACAAATTCACAAAATAGTCTTGTTCATAGTCTGCACTATTCTGCAGAAGATTGGGACAAAAATAGCCAAATTATTTGAGTAAAAAACTGAAAATTGACTCGAATTTTGTATGTTGGCTCCAAAATTAGGGTTCATTTCCAGAAATATTGAAGAATATTAGAAAAAAAGTGTGGAAAAATTTGTGCAAGAAACTCTGGTGGTGAAAAGGTTAATAATCTTATGGAGTAACCCATTTTCACTGAATAATTTGTCATTTGGTGGTTTGATATTGGAAGGATATCGTGAGACAGAGAAAAATAAAATCCCACAAGCTCAAAAATCTGGGATGTGAAAATACATGATGGTTGTGTTGTGTTATAGCAGATACAAATAGAATTGCAGATTTGTACTGTATTATCTCTGTTAGTAGGGCATACCATGGTGCCTATAGTGATGATGTATGTCTATGGTCTAATAGATCAGTACAATAAATACAATTTTTGGTTATGTGTGCTTAAAAATGTACTTCTTATAAATTAAATATGGTGCATAATAGTGAAAAAAATGAATACTATAGATTACTTTATTTTCGCTTGGAATTTATTTTCGCTATTTTTGCTGAAAGGATGATTCCGTGAAAATAAAATACAGAGAATATACTTTTTTCCCTATATTTCACATTCAACTCGTCAAAAATCAGTGAAAATAATTTCCAAACAAAACACCCAAAATGCCTTTTCAGCGAAAATTAATTCCAGCTAAAATAAAGTGTTTCACAGTAGTTTGAAAATGTTTGATTTCCAGTTTGTATAATTTGTCTAAAAGTAATCTCTTTATTGATATTAAAGCAAGAAGATGATATCAAGATTGAAAGAGATGTGAAAAGACCTTTTAAAAAACAGAAAATTGTGAGTAATTTTTGACAATATTTCTAGTACTGCATGAAATTTTTGAATAATTAGCAATTAGCGCAAAAATAATAATAAATATTTTGTTTCCTATGAGGCGCTCAAAATCTAATATATTTGTAAAATGATGATGTGGCACGTTGTGAACTAAATTTTCAGTTCCACAGTACCTGGTAAAAAAAGTTACATGTTTATTTGGAATGCTGCTTCATAAAGAGCCAAGCATAAAAATCATATAGTTGAAAAATATATCATGAACTTGACACAGAATTTACATAATTATATATAACTATGTTTGACTTATTTTGGTGAACACTTACTGCAAATGTGATAATGTTTTGTTCCTGTTTTTTAGGATGTTAATTTTGCTGACAGTGGTGATGAACTGGAAGTTGATCCTGATGACTTTTTAAAATCAGGAAGTACAATAAAAAAGAGAAATGATACTCCATGTGAGATTATGGCAAGCACCAAAAAAGTTACTAAATCAAATAAAAGTTTTGATGAAAATGGCCACAGTGGCAGTGATGTTCGCAACAGTGATGATAATGACGATGATAATGAACATAGCAACAGTGACGATGATGATGCTGAACACAGCGACAGTGACGATGATGATGCTGAACACAGCGACAGTGACGATGATGACAGTGGCTGTGAGAATGATGATACCAACGAGGAGGAAGAGGAGGGAGAAAGTGATTTTGTATCCATGGATACAGATGAGGAACATGATGAGGACAGACAGACAAAAACAAATACAGATTTGAGAGACGAAACAAGGACTAAAGGAAAAAATGAAAAGAAAACTAAAAAAAATGCTAAAAACAAACAGTCTGTCAAGTTTGAGGAAGATAAAGATTGGGACAAAGACGAGTCAGTTGCAATAGCAACGGAAGCAGTTGCTGACAATATTGTGGAAGAAGGTATAAATGAAGGTTTTGGAAAAGGTGAGGATGAGAGGAGTACACAGACTTGCTTTGAAACCAGCATTAAGCTAAGTTGGTAAATTGTTGCCACTACCGGTACCTGTGATTCACTGAGGATTGCTTGTTGGGATATGCACATTATACATTACTGTGAAATCACTAAATGTAATTTATGGGTTTGGTTCAGTGCATGATTAGCAGAAGCTTAGATCTACCTGTCCCCCCAAAGTCCTCCCTTGGTCGCTAAATTGCCTCATCCATTGCACTTTTTGAATTCATTTTTAATTGTTCCTAAAAATGTAATAATAAGTCCTACATGGACTCCATGTCACCATAGGAATGATCACAGAGTACCAATTTAACTTTGAAATGGCATTAGTATGAATTATATAGTCACAAAATATAATTTTTGAGTTATAAAACAGGTTTCGTTATTTTATGATTATGTTTTGATTGTTATACTACAAATTAATTTTATTATTAATTAAGGATACTTAAAATGGAAAGAAAATTTAGGACAGAAGGCATCAGAATCCTTTTTACAAAGATTAACTGACGGTAAAAACTTGAAGAAGCTCATATATGGTCAAGGTGAGGAGATACTGTTTCATATTACATGTGGGATGAGTAATATGAAAGGTAAACATGTGAAGGATTTAATGTCATATGAATGATATTTTGTCATGTGAGGGACATTTGTTCACCATGAGACAAATATGCCATCACCATGTTAAGGGCATGATGTAATGTGAAGGATATAATGTCATGTGGGGAATATGCTGTTGTCAGGTGGAGGATATGTTGTGTGAAGGGTGTGTTGCCATTGTGTGAAGCATATGTAATGTTGCCATGTGGAGGATGTGCGGTCATGTGAAGGATATGCTGTCATTGTGTGTCATGTTATGTGGAGGATATGCTGTCTTTTGGAGAATGTTGTGTGGAGGATATGCTGTCTTGTGGAGGGTGTATTGTCATTGTGTGAGGCTTACATGTCATGTGAGGGATATGTTGTCATGTGAAGGATGTGCTGTTATGTGAGGGATATGTTGTCATGTGAAGGATGTGCTGTTATGTGAGGGATATGTTATGTGAAGGATGTGCTGTTATGTGAGGGATATGTTATGTGAAGGATGTGCTGTTATGTGAGGGATATGTTGTCGTGTGAAGGATGTGCTGTTATATGAGGGATATGTTGTTATGTGAGGGATATGTTATGTGAAGGATGTGCTGTTATGTGAGGGATGTGCTGTTATGTGAGGGATATGTTGTCATGTGAAGGATGTGCTGTTATGTGAGGGATATATTGTCATATGAAGGGTATGCTGTTATGTGAGGGATATGTTATGTGAAGGATGTGCTGTTATGTGAGGGATATGTTATGTGAAGGATGTGCTGTTATGTGAGGGATGTTATGTGAAGGATGTGCTGTCATGTGAGGAATATGTTATGTGAAGGATGTGCTGTTATGTGAGGGATATGTTGTCATGTGAAGGATGTGCTGTTATGTGAGGGATATGTTATGTGAGGGATATGTTATGTGAAGGATGTGCTGTCATGTGAGGAATATGTTATGTGAAGGATGTGCTGTTATGTGAGGGATATGTTGTCATGTGAAGGATGTGCTGTTATGTGAGGGATATGTTGCTGTGTGAGGGATATGTTATGTGAAGGATGTGCTGTTATGTGAGGGATATGTTATGTGAAGGATGTGCTATTATGTGAGGGATATGTTATGTGAAGGATGTGCTGTTATGTGAGGGATATGTTATGTGAAGGATGTGCTGTTATGTTATGTGAAGGATATGTTATTTGAAGGCATGTGTTAGACATGAATGTGCTTACATTAAAACAGTTTTCATAAATCTGAGTTTGCTTTTAAATAATTGTGTTCACATGATAAAGATTCAATTGAAATAATAAATCAGACTAATCAGGTCTAATTATACTTGCTGTCGTTTCTATGCTAGATATCATTATTCATTGCCTTGTTTTCTGTTAACTGATGATGATGTATTGTTGCTATAGTTACTGAGACTGAAGACATGGATGATTCTGAATCACGCGATGTCGGTGGTCTGTTTACTATTGTCAAGGCAACCAGTAAATCTAGTCATCAATCTCTGAATGGTCTCGACTGCTCTAGATTTTCAATGAATTATGGGATGGATTGGGATATAAACGAGGTAAGTACTGTAAACTGTCTTATTTTTTGCAATAGACAAATTTTTACTTGTTAGTGAAAATCATAAATCTTAACACTTGCAATTGAATCATGAAATCATGACGCTGCAAAAATTAAACGATTTACAGCTTGTTAATTACTGTATCCCCAAATTAAATTCATCCACCTAGCTATTATTAAACAACGTTAAAGTGCGGTAGTCGTCGCGCCACGCATGCGTGAGATATATGGGTCTCATATAAGTAAAGACGGCGACTTTGACTGTTGCGCAGATCAACGAGTACAAACTAAGACATTACCAAGCTTTAATTAGGTATTTTTAGGTAATTGGAAGGTATCGAAGGAGTTACCGACGATAATTAGTGCAAGTTAGTTATGAGGTCGAACCTCATACTTGTGATTTCCATTAGAAGAGCGCATTGGATTATGGGAAAATCAACGTTTATCAAAACAAATGTCGCACATACACAGCACATTGACAACCTTCCTTTAATATATATAGGTGTGTTACAAGCATTGTTGCTTTCAAGAAGCCAGTAGATAACTATCAGATTTGGACATTAAAAAGACAACAGCCTACATGACAAGTCTGTTTGATATGGTTATCATGCAACGTATTAGAATGGCCTCCAAAAATCCATGCTTCCTTGCTGGATTCACCCTCAGAAAAAAAATGTAATTCCATGTGGAGATAAACTATATATTGTGTATGTATTTTATATATATTTTTTAGTTGAAAGAGAAAATAAAAGACTGTTTTGTTACTGGAAAGTGGGAAAATGACAAAGACGCTGAAAAAATGTTAGCACAAGATGGTGAGTTATTTTTGATTAACTCTGATTACCAATTATAACTCTGTAGTTACTTGTGTTGTATATGTATTTTCATTGATTATCTCTGTTTGCTCTAGATTATCATTTTTCACCCTAGGTTACTTATAGCTATAACTAGTTGCCCCAGGTTATCATTACATTGTTTTACCATTTGTATATCACAAGTTTCTTTAATAAGTAATCACTAGTTCTCCTAGGTTATCAATAGATGTATCAGGTTATTACAAGTAGCCCTAGGTGAACACTAATTACCCGAGGTTATCACTAGTAGTGATTATATGGTTATGACTTATTACCATGTTACCAATAGTTACCTCACAAATCAATAGTTGCCAAATTATCACTAGTTGCCCAAGATTATCATTAATTGCTCAGGCTATAATTAGTTGTTTTCGGTTGTCACCAATTGCATCCGGTTATCACTACTTTCTTATGTGTTGATAATTAATAATAATATTAATGCAATGACTGTAATCCCAAGTTTTTAGGTATATCATTTTTTATAAATTCGATGTTTAATGTATCCAGTTATGATTGTCTTTAATGGTGTTAAATTTTTGTTAGATGAAATATATGGGGATTTTGAGGATCTTGAGACAGGAGAAAAGCACCATGGCAACATACGTGATGATGATGATGATGAAGAAGACTCTGGAGAAGATGAAGTTGTGAAAAAAGATGAAAAACAGGAATTAACTGAAAAAGAAAAAAGGTTAGAAAAAAAAAGGAAATTGAAAGAAGCATTCAATACTGAGTATGATGATGAAGATGGTGGGACATCGTATTACGATGATTTGAAACAGCAACTGGACAATCAAGCACAGGTGGGTGTGACCTTTGACCCCCCTTTATAATTTCAATGTGTATACTACCACCAGTCAATGATTATTGAATATTATTCTTGATAATATTGTAAGAAACTAATTTTCAAGCATTTATGCGGTTGAGATGAAATTGTATAAGTTCGTAGCAGGGTTCTACATGTATGATGCAAGGACAATAATGTCTCGGTGACTTTTGTGAAAATTTGTCTACATTGTTTTTCTATTGCAGGCACAGAAACCTTTTTTAAGGGATCGACCACAAATTTATTATACTTATATGATTTTATTATAAATATATACATGTTACATTGTATATCACCATGTGTTAAATCTTTTATAGTATTAAATGTATCAAAAATTATGAACAAAAATTAAATTGCAGAATTGCAGCCCTTTCATATAATGAAAAAAAAATTTCTAAATAACCTTTAAGTGCTTATTTTTCAAATTGTTCTACATTCTCAGATTAATAAATCCGCTTTTGATGATATGGAAGATGATGTAAGAGTTTTATACGAGGGATATAGACCTGGAATGTACATCAGAGTAGAGGTAATTATATACATTTGTACATCATAGTAGAGTTATTTATACATCATAATAGAGAGCTATTAATATGATTATTTATCAGGGTGGATTTATTTATACATTCTTACACCTTAGTAGAAGTATTTATTCATTTGTATGCCTTAGTAGAGGTATTTATACATTTGTACACCTTAGAAAGAGGTATTTATACATTTGTACACCTTAGAAAGAGGTATTTATTAATTTTTACACCTTAGTAGAGGTATTTATATATTTGTATGTCTTGGTAGAGGTATTGATACATTTGTATGTCTTAATATCTTAGTAGAGGTATTGATATATTTGTATGTCTTAGTAGAGGCATTTATACATTTGTATGTCTTAGTAGAGGCATTTATACATTTGTATGTCTTAGTAGAGGTATTTATACTTTTGTACACCTTATTAGAGGTATTTATATATTTGCATGTCTTAGTAAAGGTATTTATATATTTGTATGTCTTAGTAGAGGTATTTATATATTTGTATGTCTTAGTAGAGATATTTATATATTTGTATGTCTTAGTAGAGGTATTTATACTTTTGTACACCTTATTAGAGGTATTTATATATTTGCATGTCTTAGTAAAGGTATTTATATATTTGTATGTCTTAGTAGAGGTATTTATATATTTGCATGTCTTAGTAAAGGTATTTATATATTTGTATGTCTTAGTAGAGATATTTATATATTTGTATGTCTTAGTAAAAGTATTTCTTAATTTTTACTCCTTATTAGAGGTATTTGCTTGTGTAATTTTATGAATTTTTTATTAATTTTGTTAAGTTGCATTTCTCTAAACTAGTTTAGTCATTATATTACATGCACGAAAAAGGCAAATTCCAGAATATTTATAATTGCTGATAAAATTGTATTTTATCTTTTCTTAGATTGCCAATATGCCATGTGAGTTTGTCACTAACTTTGATGAAACATATCCCATAATACTTGGTGGCCTCTTACCAGGTGAAGAAAATATTGGTTATGTCCAGGTATTTTTTTTATTCTTAAGTCATCTTATAATATACATACTAAAGGATTTTTCTAGAAATATAGTCAGGGTTTCACAATTCATATCATATCCTGACTGTGATCTGATGCTTGACCTTGAATTTTAAGATAAAATGTAGAGTTGTATAACATTATTATACATCTGTATGTTCCCAATGTGCATGAAGCATACATTTGTATCCACAAATAGTTGTGTATTGGTGATATTTACCAAACTGTTCAACCAACATGTGTTATACAAATCAAGTAGGATTATGGGTAATCACAGTCACTGACCGATGCTTTGAACATGCAAGACTACCTATATTGAACATTTGTACACACTGTCAGAATATAACAGTACATATGATTTACTAATCACAACTCTGAAAACAGTTTATGATTATGATTAAACAACAAAGGTGTATCCAATAAGCGGTTGACTTGTGATATCATATTTGGAAACGGCGCCCTCAGTGGCACATTTAGAATGAAAACAGATGGTTCCACTTAGATTTGCTGATTTGTTCAGAGTCTCAATTATTTTCTGAATTTTGATATACTGTTTTAATGTTGTAGAATTTCACTGATTTTATTCAAAAATCGATCACGAATCATAAGAATTGTGTTAAAACGAAATTATGGTGAAACGGAACAATATATTTACATTCAACATTGTACTGCAGGTGAGAATGAAAAAGCATCGCTGGTTTGATAGGATACTGAAGACGCGTGATCCTTTGATAATATCTCTCGGTTGGAGGAGATTTCAAACAATACTTATGTATTCTGTTCAAGATCATAATGGAAGACATCGTTTACTAAAGTATACTCCAGAACATATGCACTGTCATGCAACCATGTGGGGTAAGTTCACCAATCAGGGAACAGGATACAAAATAACATGCAACAGTGTCTATACTGACCAATTAGCGATCAATATACAAAATAACGTGCAACAGTAACTATACTGACCAATCAGGGACCAGGATACAAAATAACATCCAATAGTGTCTTTACTGAGCAATTGGGGATCAGTGCACAAAATAACATGCAACAGTGTCTATACTGACCAATTAGCGATCAATATACAAAATAACGTGCAACAGTAACTATACTGACCAATCAGGGACCAGGATACAAAATAACATCCAATAGTGTCTTTACTGAGCAATTGGGGATCAGTGCACAAAATAACATGCAACAGCATCTACACTGACCAATCAGGGACCAGGATACAATATAACTTGCAACAGTGGCTATACTGACCATTGGTTCATTCTGACCATGTGACTGGTGTTTGTTTTTAGGTCCTATTACACCACAGGGTACTGGATTACTAGGAATACAGTCAGTATCAGACACTACAGTAAGCACTACATTATTATCATTTAGCTATTAATGACAACATTTATACTTTTAGTCAGATAAAAATAAAAAATGTAATTGTGAATTTAGAAGAATAAAAACAGGATGTGTGATCTGAGTATAACATTAGACAGATGTTAATTTATTTACATTGCTGTAATTTTTACATTACATTTAATATTAAAAATCTCTCTCTTGTTGATTCATATAACATAAATATTCTCGTTGTCTTACAGTCTAGGTTTCGAATAGCTGCTACAGGTACTGTTTTAGATCTAGACAAATCTATTACGATTGTCAAAAAACTAAAATTGACAGGAACTCCATTTAAAATATACAAGAATACAGCGTTCATTAAGGTAATGTGTTTACTTTCAATTTTTATATTTTATCAGTACCCAAATAAAATTGACTTATTATACTTTGTTTTCATTTTATTTAGACTGAAATTAATAGATTATGAAATTCATAAATCTGATTATTTTTTTAGGTTGAAATCAGTGCAATTCATCAATTTTCTACTGACATCTCGGGAACTAATCATCACATTTCAATGATATTTGGAAATATCCAGATCTGATTAGTTTTTGGTTGAAATTTGTTCATAATAATCACCTGATTTGCATAATTAGCTAATTTTCAGCCTTTCTACTAATCTCAACCAAAACTTATCAAATATCAATGAATATTGGTACTTGCGTGATCTGGGGAATGTCTCATATATGTTTAGATTACGATTTAAGGTAGCAGGACTATTATTTGCATACTTGTTTTCATCTTCTAATTGGGACCAAACGACTACAAATAGACCCAGGAAAGTATATATTTTTGGAATCGCCAGACTTCAAGCTTTTCAAAAGTGTATTTGTCATGTCCGTGTCTGTGTTTTACGGTGCGTTCTTAATCAAAATGGAGAAATTACTTTTTTTGTAAAAAAAATAATTTTGCATTTATGCTGGTGATAAGAAGTTTTGTTTTCACTTTTCCTAGTTGTTCAATAGTCTGGTAAATTGAATGTGTCTGGTCAGTTTTATTCAAGTAACGCGTTTTGAAAAGTAGTGTCCTGAATTTTAATTTCTGTTTTAGTCGCATTGCCCCCAACTCAAACCACAACACATTGGTAAATAATTCATGAAATAGTATGTCTGGACACATTCAAGTTCCTCTCATTGTCACCTTAAAGCTGTGAAAATTTGGTGTTAATCCGACGACAATAAGTATACGTTATTTTTTGTTAAAGACCTTGTATTTTGAAAAAAATTAACTCCTAGAAAACGTCGATGAAGTCACAGCAAAGATTTTCAAGCTTGTTTATCTGCACAAGCGATTTTTTTTCCATCAAGGTCTGTTTTAACATGTGTAGGGGCATCCAAATGTGTAAGGCTATTGGAAACCAAAAAATAAAGGAATGGGATAGCTATAATTCGATAAAATCGGCAAATGAAAACACTAAAATCAATGATTTTTTTCAGTGGCTGTGTGACCTTGTGTCTGACACATTCATATGCAAATGACTAATCTGTGAAATAAACAGGGGCGGAGACAAACCACTCAAATGTTTGGAAACACTCAGATAGCTACTGATAACACATCCTAACATTGCTTTGTCTTGAGTTAATCTTTGAAACTTATAGGCACACAGATTAAACCTGTGTTGTTGATTTTAGAAAACACTACTGAAGCTGCCTTGCTTCCCTTCAGAAAATCTACATTTTAACCAACTTACATGACATTCTAGGTTACGTTGACTTTGTCAGATGAAAGTTTATAGTGCATTTCATCAATTAATAAATAAATGTGAAAATCGTAATTTTCAACACAAATAATAGTCTCGCTACCTTAATTCATGCATACTAATTACCTAATTTGAATAAATTAGTCAATTGATTTATAAAATATTTGATTGTATGAAAAGTTATTAGTTATTACTAAATATTGTTAACATGTTATTGTTTCTATAAGCCTTGCTTTTATATTGTTTGTTTGTTTGTTTTTTCTTACCTCAGGGTATGTTCAACTCTGCTTTGGAGGTTGCTAAGTTTGAGGGTGCTTCTATTCGCTCAGTGAGTGGGATTCGTGGTCAGATCAAGAAAGGTGTTCGATCACCAGAGGGCGCTTTCCGTGCTTCATTTGAAGATAAACTTCTGATGAGTGGTATGTTGTTTGAGAACCAAATTTAGAATTTGTGATATTGCTGATGTTTTATATTTAAGCTAAAAATGAAAATGTCAGTGTCATGCTCACGCCTGTCATTCAGATTAAAGAAGGCCAGGCAAACAGCATAATGCTTCCAGATAAAAATAGCAATTTATATTACTGTTCATTTTTTCATCAGTATTCTGTAGTTCACCATCTTGAGCAAAGGATTGTGGGTAAAGTGTGACATCATAGTTACTTGAAATATTGAGAAATACTTATGCGAAATAGTTAAAATTTCAGTGTGCATATTAATCATGTATATAATTATAATAATGGAAATTATAATGACACAAAAAGTAAAGATATTGCCAAAAAGGTAAATATTAAAGTAAACAAATAAATAAAAATCATTATTTTTTTTCATTGAAAATACTAAGACACATTTTTTCTTTTTTTGCAGTCAGAAGGTCATACATAAACCATATAAGCTACTCTCATTGATGAATTGAACATTTGGTAGAAAACTGTATAAAATGGAAAAATGAATATTTTCTGTTCTGTTGCCATGACCACCATTTTATGTATGGTTAGCACGGGTATGCTAACAGTTCTAAAATTTCAACCGATTTGAAGTCCTACTTTTGAAGTTATAGATGAATTTTCCCAATTTTTCACTACAATAGCTGTCATATTTACCCATAATCCTTTGTTGGAGAATCAAGATGGTGGATGAAAAGGAATACCTAGAGAATGAAAATGATATCAAGTAATTTGTAAATTACATTCTCCTTCATCTGGTAGCATGATGTTGTTTTCCCAGTCTTCTTCAAAGATTTTCCTGGCTATGAGTATATAACAAAGTATTTTTGCTGGTAATTTGGGATTCTATTTCATACTAGCTAGATCACTATGATCACTGAACTACTATCATGCAGTAATCTTGCTATAACTTTGCAATACATTTTATGACTTCCCTGGAGTTTAATTCAATCATGCTTGTCTATTCTCCCGTAGATATTGTGTTTGTCAGAACATGGTATCCTGTCACGATACCAACATTCTACAATCCTGTCACATCAATGCTATTACCAAAAGAATCTAAATCTAAGTGGACTGGAATGAAAACTGTTGGTCAGATACGAAAAGAGAAAAACTTGTCACTTCCTGTTGCCAAGGATTCAATGTACAAGGTGAGAAAATTTGTATACGTCATAAATTTGAATAAAATAAAATAAAAAAGAATTAATGTAGACTTGAATCGAATTATAGCAGAATAGAATTAGAATAGAAATTTTAATATATAATAGTAAATGATTAGATATTAGAAAATTAGATATGCATTATAATATCCTTTGATTTGACTAGACTAGACTAGACTAGACTAGACTAGACTAGACTAGAATAGAATAGAATAGAATAGAATAGAATAGAATAGAATAGAAAATAATTGTATACATATAGTATGTTATTCCTGACATCGATTACCCATATACAAAGTAATATTTCCAGAAAATTTTGAGAATGCCGAGGCGATTAGATGATGGTTAGATATTAGAAAATTAGATATGCATTATTATTTGAATAGAATAGAATAGAATGGAAGTGTATACGTATAGTACCTTATTCCTGACATTGATTACCTGTATACAAATTGCCCTCATGTTAATTCTCATTAATATTTCCAGAAAATTGTGAGAACGCCGAGGCGATTCAACCCACTACATATACCAAACCGTCTGCACAAACAACTGCCATTTAAGAGTAAACCTAAAATGATGGAAAAGAAAGAAAAGAAAGTAGCCAGTGTCTTGGATAAACACAGAGTGGTGATCAGAGAACCAGAAGAGAAAAGAGTGAGTATAACTTGTGTCTGTCTTTTATCATGTCATAAAAATAATGTGTCACTAGTGGGCACCAATAAGGTTTCTCATCTACTGTAAAATAATTTATTTTAGCTGGAATTAATTTTCGATGAAAAGACTTTTGGTGTTTTGTATGGAATTTATTTTCACTGATTTTTGACAAGTTGAATGTAAAATATAGGTAGAAAGGTATATTCGCTGGATTTTAACTTCACTGAATCATTCCTTCAGCGAAAATAGCAAAAATAAATTCCAAGCGAAAATAAAGTATTTTACAGTATGTCATTTTGAATGTTGTTGTATTGATAAAGTGTCTATTGTTGAAACCGAGCTTGAGATTCCCCATAGGTTTTACTTGTGAAATATAGTGCTTGGAGATATCACAGGAAAGACTTGCGAGTCAATCTGTATACTTTCAGTATGCTGTATTTGATTCATTAGATCTCACACTACAATAAAACTCTCTGTAGATGACAATTTAAAAATTGAAAAGCATGTAAGGCCAATGAATCCAGTACCCAAAATAAAAAAAAAGGATTAATTTTGTATTCACAATTAAATAGTGAACAGCTTTGTCACAGTTGTTGAAATAAAGCTGACTACACTGGTATTAGAATTATTGGAAAAGTTGACACAGCTGACTATTCACTCTAATAGATTTATTTAGTACTGTAAAATACTTAATTTTCGCTTGGAATTAATTTTCGCTAATTTCACTAAATGAATGATTCAGTGAAAATAAAATCCAGCGAATATACCCTTTTTCCTATATTTTACATTCAACTTGTCAGAAATCATTGAAAATAAATTCCATACTGAAAAACCAAAAAGCTCTTTCACTGAAAATTAATTTCAGCTAAAATAAATTATTTTACAGTACATCATTATAAAACCAGTTGGTTTTTGCTAATATACCAATCAAAGGTTTACTTATCCTGGTATTGTACTAAATAAAATGGTCTGAAATAAAAGCACACCAACCCTAGAAAAAATAGAGAGGATTACGTTTACCCCTTGCACCGTGATACAAATTTTAATTGTGTATGAAACCAATAAGATGCAAGCCAGACATACATTTGTACGGTATGTATGTATCGGGAGTGCGCCACTTATGGTAGAATAGGGAAATGTTTGTTTTCTGTGGCAGAAGATGTTTTATTTATCCAAATCCACCTTTATTGCATGTGTTCAAAAGCATTATCTAGTAAATGTAAAACAGTGAACATATTTTTGTTGTGGTATTGAATAATTGCAATGAAACTTGGTACATATACATGTATGCTCTAGGACTATGCACAGACCTGATTAGTTTTGGGTAAAAATTTGTGCATATTAATCACCAAATTTGCATAATTAGTAAATTTTTGTTTTTTTACATCAATATTTCAAGTACCAATTACTAGTATCCCATTTCAATGAAACTTAGTACATAAAGGCTCTAGAGCAATGCACAGACCTAATGAGTCATGGTTTAAATT